TTTGAAATCAAACGGTTGTTGGTTTCAATTTTCCCAGTTTCACAACTTTTTACTAATAGTTTCTTCGTACCCGTATGTAGCATCAAGCTGGAGGCAACTTCTCCGCACGTGGGCTAAATGACCAGGTCAGAAACCTCCAGGGTTCAGAATCACTCGCTGTAATAAGAACTTTGGCCGGCTTGGAAGAGAATAAAAATATAAACAGTCACTCTTATAATGCACCCACAGCTGTAATAAGAACTTTGGCCGGCTTGGAAGAGAATAAAAATATAAACTGTCACTCTTATAATGCACCCACAGCTGTAATAAGAACTTTGGCCAACTTGGAAGAGAATAAAAATATAAACTGTCACTCTTATAATGCACCCACAGCTGAAAATGTGCACCACTTGTAGTTTAAGATCCGGAGCGCGGTACGTAACCACTAGGCCACGCCCAGCCTTTTTTACCTGCTAATAAACAACTTGCTCTCACAATTAATCCTTGTCGCTACTTAAACAACGCAAATTTACCTTTATAACGTTGGCAAATATAAGCTGCTTTCCTTATACATTTGCGATCATTCCATTTACCAGCACTAGGGGGCTCACCCATCATCTCAACACATCCATCCTGTCAAAGAAAGAAAGAAAAAGAAACATACTTCTACAGAAATCGTCGTAAAATAATCCTTTAAATTAATAATTAATGAGTTGACATTACTTATTCTACAGTTTGAGTTGGTATTTATATTTATCATAGAAAACAACCAGGAAAGGCTTACGATGTATGAGTTGGGTTCTCTGGGAGCCCAGTAATCAAAGTCAAACCGAGAATTATCAGACCAGATGAAGCGATGATACTGTCCCTCGGCTCTTTTTAATCCTATCCAAGCCGATTTCTTGCTGTAGGCGAGCATGCTCGTTAAGAACACTGGGAACGACAAATGAAAAGGACATAAGATGTGGTTATATATAGTTGAAGTAAATAATTAGCGTTTAATGATACATTAACAACTGCAAGTTTCATAACTATTTTGCTAGTTGATAAAGAAAATGTCAGGTTTTAGTTTAAATCATCTTACTTTGCTCCTTTTTGCTGTGAACAGAAACAAGATCGTGATTGGGCCCTTTTTTCCTGCAGGCTTCACGTGCTTCTTGCCACGTCATTTCCGCTTCATTATTTTCTTCGCTGAAGAGGTAACATTTATCTCCTAGACAACAATTAAACAACACGTTTCGCTCTATTGGTAAGCTAATATATATATATGTGTATGTATGTATATATATATAATCTTATGGATATTGTGCACGCGGTTAATAAACTTAATTAATACTTTTTCTTGCTCTGAACATTTTAATCTATAAATTCTGGGGCAAATATTTAAGGAAATCTTACCATCAAATAATAATCTCCCATACGTTTAGCTGCTAATTAATAAAGCAACTGTCTTAAATACAGGTGTCGCATTCTACTTATCATTAATATATTCTCCAAATCAGCTTTGAATTTGAAGTGCAGTTCCATTTTGGAAAATCTCAAACTGGATTTTAAAAAATATTAAAATTAGAACGAAATGTCCAAAAACACTTC